TTGATAGGTTTGTTAGTATCTGTCATATTGCCAATTAAATTAAGTAATTAACCTTGAAGTATTTACAAATCATTCTTAAAGATCGTATAGAGTTAGTTTTATTTTTATTATTTACAGACATGATCATACATCAAAATTTGAAACTCTTTTAAAATATGTATTAGGGATATTTAACAAGGTGCGAGAATAACATTAACACGAACACTATCGATTGTCATCGGTATAATAAACGAATGTGCAAATTATATGTCGATTTAAAAAGTTCATTATAAATTGATAATTTATTAAACGAAGTTTTCTATTTTTCTAGTTTAGGATATAACCGAGGGGAAAACAGCTGATTTCTTTTATTTTTAATCAAATTGAAATCAAAAACAGAATTCAAAGAAATGATTGAAAATCATTTTTTTTGTCAAAAACGCCAATGCTGTTATTACATTATTGCAATGTATGAAGCCTGTCTTTCTTGTGGCTGTACAGCTTGATATCTAGTTTTAAAATATAAACAGTTACAGAGTGATCCAATAGTCTTGGTCGTCCTAAGAAAAATTGCTCGTTCTCCCTTATTAGAAATCAAAGAATGCTCAAAATTAAATGTCTAATCCTTTGTAACTAGACGAGTATTACCTTAAATTTTCACATCTCTAGCCCTTATTATAGGGGAGATATATAGGTTTATATGGTAGAGAACAGTTTTTGTTTCATGTCTTAAAAAACAAAATAGCAAGGGTTTACAGAACAAGAAGAAAAGAAAAAGGAAAAAGAAAGACATCAAAATGAGGAAATATTAAGAGAGTTATATCTTAAGATTAATTAGATGTCTACAGTATATATGTTTAACTATAATTAACTTTCATTTGATGTATATTGACGTATATGACCATTGTCAAGTTAAGATATGTTGTCTAAGTTTTTTATATTTTCGGAACATTAATATTTAGTACAAGTGAGGGAATTAAATAAAAACATAAAAAATTAAATGTCAAAAAAATTGCAAATTGAGGAATTGTTCAAAAAGATTTGTCGATACTGAATGATACACAATGGTCATATGCTAATATACATCAAATGAGATCTAAAGATATTTAAGTAAATATACTACGGACATCTAATTAATCTTAAGAGACGGTCCATGAGATGATCGAGGATCGTTCCAATATACGAGGCACTCGATAAAATTTTTTTTTCGATTTTTTTTGCTCATTCGAAACTTCAATGTCTAAAACTACTAACCCTAAAATTTTATATTCTAATACCCTTTCTATGAAAAGTTAGTCAATACCAACTTTTGGCACTATCGAGGCTTTTTGTAAAAAAATAAGAAAAATATTCTATAAAAGATGTACTGGCTTCCGTTTCAGCAAATCATTGAAATTTTCCGTGGTATATATGACAAGATAGAGAATTGAAAACTGAATAAAATGAGCTACATTGATATAATATAATGGCTAACAATTTAAGTTTTATAGAGCAAATATGAGTCAAGGGGTGGTATTTCTGAACAGTCCAAATAAACAGTATAATTCGTGTTGTGCTTCAGAACTCAGAGACCCCAGACTGAATTTTATATATGTTGTGCAGCTTTTTATTCTCTACAAAATGGTAAAAAAATATTCGAAAAAAAAGTTTCCGCTTGATGCGAAAACGGTTTATACTGTCCCATTTTTCATGATTTTTGATGGTTTTTCAAAGAAAAATAAAGATTTTCAGCGTTTTTTTTTGTCATAGAATACTAATAGAAGAAAACAAATATGATATTCTGAATCAGCGTGAAAAACTGCATCCAACCATATATGTTTCGTCGAAAATTTTTTCCTGACCAAAATTCACAATCTGATTTAGATTAGACTAGAGTCACATTATTTTCGTCGTTTTATATGACTTGTCTAGTTGTTGTCAGTCACCTGTCTACTAGCACCTTCTATCTTTTCTCATCTCAAAATAGCTGAAAATCAAGAAAGTTTTAATAAATGGCGTTGAAAACACCATGCCATGGCCAAATATTAGGTTGGAACATAAGTTCTGAGCGTTTCTTTTGTGCTGTAGGCAAGTTTGAGACTTTATATCTCGTGATTGGAAAGTGATAGAGGTCTGAAATTTTTAGTTTAGATAGGTCTCTATGACTTCTATCTATACTAAAAATTTCAGACCTCTATCACTTTCCAATCACGAGATATAAAGTCTCAAACTTGCCTACAGCACAAAAAAAAACGCTCAGAACTTATGTTCCAACCTAATAGATAAACCTCTGTAGTAGCAGCCGTCACTGATCAGCTCATTGGCTTACATCTCTACCTGTGAGTGACTATAGGTTTTCATTGAAAGATACAGTAAAAATTGAATATTATAAGAATGCAGGCCCGAAAAACCAAATCATTCTAGTTTTTCTCAACGCTCATCAATCAGCATTCATCAAATGAGTATAGATTCAATCCAAAAACTATTCACCATCTTAAGAGATTCTCTTGTTGTAAACGAATGTTTCCGGATGAAAAATGCTAAGTTGAAAGCAATCTATGGATTATTTGTAGAACCAAACGATCGATGTAGAAGTTTCAAAATTTTGTATTTATTTAAATGAGTAGTGGTGTGGGTGATGGGCAATTTTAAAAACCAAAGATGCATTTCTTTGCATGTTTGTTTTATGATTATGATGTTAAAGTAAAATTAGTTGTAATATGCACTAGTAACATCAACAGCTAAATTTATTGTCTAAATGCTATAATCCATAATATATGATGCATAACTATTCTTGGTTTCGCGCATTCCAATCTCAACTGAAATTCTCATGTCAACTATGACATATATATATTTTTTTTTGTTTCAGCATTTTAGATGTGAATGATTTATTAAATATTTACAATCCGCAATAAGTCAATATCAATATACATATTTGTTTGTAATGCTCGACAACGGCTGTTTTCAGATTGTGTTACTATTAATAAATTTTTCATAGCATTTACTGAATCATTTCAGTAAAATACTCACATACCAGCAAGTTTAATCTTAATATTGCTCATAAGAATATTGATATAATCTGTCTGATTTTTTTCCAAATAATTGAATATCACAAAAGCCACTTGATGATGTTCCAAAGAAACAGGAGATATGTGCAAATCAACCACAACATTAATGTGATGCAATGCATGAATATAAAAAACACAATTGTACTAGGTAATAAATAATAAATTATATAAAATGTAGATATAGAAGACGATGCTTTATCCCATGGTTCTATCTTATTCATAAGTAGCCAACAAGTACTTATGTGTAGACACACGCATGGAAGTACAATGAAAACGATAATGGCTTGTGATACCCAGTCTACCTCAAGATTAAGTTGAGAGTGCTCAGCATGTTTTAAAGAATTCGTCATAATGAAAGTTATGAGGTATGTTAGAGCAGCATCACCAATAGTTCCCAATGTAGCCAAACCCAAAAGACAACGCTTAGAATGAATGCATGCCATTAGAGCAAAAATGATTGCTAAGCCCTTTAGACCCGTTGTGAAGTAGGTAAAGGAAGAAACTATCAAATGATAGTAAGTCACTGAATTAAACATGTTTGCTTCACCAAACCAAATTTACTGACGGAATCGTGCCAAACTATGTAAGTAACTCTCGTACTTTGCAGACGAATTTATTCATACAGTACTTATGTTGACAGGACTAAAATAAACACAAATGATGTCATATACATGTTTTTTCTTTTACCACAACATACGTGCACAAGATGATTCGACTCGAATGATTCATAGTGTGTAGAAATACTTTTGTTTGAATCACCCTGAGAAACATACATCCTAACATGCATTTATATGGTCTCAATGTATTCAATGGAAATCGATTGAAAAAGTAAGCTATCATTGCTGCAATAGAATAAAAAAGCACCAATGTTATATAAAAAACTGTTCGCAATGCTTCGACGATTCAATCTATTACGTAGTACTTAATCTGAAGACATAGTGTGGTGAGACATATAAGATCAAAGTTGAATACAGTTAGTGAGGCAACATCTTGATTTGATCAAAAAACGTCAGAAAAAGAAATTGTGATAGAAATATGTAGAATCAAACGACATATTCTCGTATATATAAATATTTCATTTTTTTTCAAGAGTTTCACATCAAGGATGACGCTACATTATTGTGACGTTTTAACAAAAGTGTAAATTAGGATTTTCTATGTGTTTCAAACGGTATAAAAATTGACATTATCTACCGATTGCTGCGGCTTTTTTTATTCGTGTATTATCAATACCTATTGATCCTTAAAATATTTTTGTAAATCCTAATGTACTTATCAAAACTTATTCATTATCAAAACGTTCACATCTATGAAATATAACTGATATCTATTTTTTCATCTGAATGTTATTATCAATAATGGCATCTTTTTCCGTATGGTTTATTTGTATTAATGATTGCTCTTGAATAATAACCTTAACATGCATTAATTTCGATTGAAGTTTATTATCAAACATTGAAAAATTCCAGGTGCCAAGTATATAATCTCAAATCTGGACTCGATCCATCAATTTTTTTTGCATATGCGGTACTTAACGTGATTCTGCAAATACAAGATATTCAACCTATTTTTGTGACACTACTTGTCAAATCAGTTGAATATTTCAACAATAAAATTCAAATTACAGAAAATGACTTCTATGGAAATTACTAATTTTTACAATGTTCTGACTGCTTTTAACCATGCATCAAAATTTGAAAAATAGGCTTAGATCATTTTTTTATTAAATAAAAAAAAGAGACTGTTACACGATAGTCTTCGCTCATTAGAGATAAGTTGGATGCTAATTCACATGGAGCAGCGTCGTTTTTTGCTTTTAGATATCATCTGTCTAGAAATGACATCTATCGAATACTAACACTATATTTCGTAACTAATCCAATGGTTCGATTTTATCAATGAATCATCGATCGGTTAAGATCAATAAGAAAACTGTTACGTGTTTAAGTTCGTTGTATCGATAATGATCCTTACATGACGACTCAATTAGACGAACATTACATTCGAACAAATGTTGAATGGAGCCATCTTCCAGCCGACGTTAAACAAGTGATTTTGAATCTTGTTACTGTCTATTTGAAATAATCGTTTTTTTTCCGTTTTCACAATAGAAATTCGGTTGGAATACAGAAAAAGATTATGATAAAGCAATTTTAACATTTTCAATAAAACATCAACTTCGTTATAGAGGAAATTTAGGTATTTAGAGTCACACAAAAAAGGAATTAAAATTGTATTCTTAATCCATTTTTATTTAGTTCGAAAAGTTCATAAAGATTCTAGAAAGTATTATGATGATCTTTTACGTTATAGTCGTGAACATTTAATGCTTTTTGTAAGTTAATATTTATTTGTTTTAAATATTTCTATTACTTATTGTTTGAATTTATAGCCTTATCATTTATCAGAAATCTATGTTAAAGGTTTACGTATAACATCGTTTTCATATTATATTGATATGATAAGTGACTTAATTCTTCAAGAAAAATCTTATGATACATTACCAAATTTTACTGGTAAATAAAGCAAAAAAAATCTTATTTTGTGTTTTCAAAAAAAAAAATGTTTTGTTTCTCTTTTCAAGCTGCTGATTGTCTTCGTTTACTTGGTATTGGTCGTAATCAATATATTGAATTAATAAATCAATCACGTACAATATTACAAACGGCAAGAAAAAAAATGTTTCTTAGTTTATCAAATTGGAAAACACCAGCTTCAATTCGTCATTTATTACCATTACAACCTGTTGATTCCGTACATATTCAACCATGGTGGGTTATTAATTTAGGTTGTGTTACTGATGAGGATGTTAAACAATGTACAAATGAAGAAAAATTAATAATTGATTATCTTATTGATGAAAAATCTTCAAAATTAGCTGGTGAACTTAATTATCATGCAATACATTCACTTTATCGTAAAGGTTTAGTTTATTTGGATGTACCTGTTCATGATGATGATTATATTCAAGTACCCCCATTAGGTTCAGGATTTGTTATGAATCGTATTGTTGGAGATTATTTTGAAGTATTACTGTATAAGTTATTTGTTTCAACAGATGAACATACAAATGTTGGAGAATTATCAAGAATATTAACATTAGATATTGATTTAGTAAAACAAACGATGTCAATGTTTTTAAGATTAGGTTTTGCAAGAAAGAAAAATTTAGATAGTGATCATGGTATTATTCATACATCATGGAAACATTTTTCTACAGGAGCTAAATTACAATCACCACCACCACCAAAAGAAATAGTAGCAACAACATCACCAACAATGGATAAAAGTTTATTAGAATGGAAAACTGATTTGGAAATGGATACATCGTTGAGTGGAGATGATAATGTATTCACTAGTACAACAGATGAACAAGTAAGATTAAAAAAAGTCCAATTCATGAAATTGAAAAATGTTTTGTTCTAAATATTAATTAAACATGAGAATATGGTACTGTTAGACCGGTCATTACCGGTGTGTCCTATTTATTTATTTTTCTTCTTAGCATCTGATAGAGCATCTTTAATGCAACTTTGTTCAAAGTTGACAACGTTACATATTACTATTGATAGATGGAATAGTTCGATCACTCATCAGTTCAATGTTGGTATAGATTTCAGACTGACCGGTTTCATCTCTGTTATGATATGAACTCATATAAGGAATTTTATAGGAAGCTGAAATGCTAAGCACAAGAAATATTCAGTATTAAAAAGTTAAGTACACAAAAACAATGAAGGTAAATGTGACGTCTATTGAAGGATGGATGAATGCATATAAATAAAGGGTGATCTTTAGGTTCTGTGCCTCAACAACATTTATTTACATGTAAACAAAGAATGATTTCTACTCAACTATCTCTAGTTTGATAATCAGAGTGTGAGTACAGAGGATAGCCGCACTCATATCCTAGATACTACGTGCCGTTTTGTATAATTATGCTACTTCGCATATGATGAATTCATAGTTCATTAAAACTTGTTAAAAAAATACTGGTCAATTTTGAGATTTTAATTATCATGTTTCTTCTGTTTATATCACTAATCTTAATAGAGATAATGTTATGTAAAATATCGTCCTAAGTATTCGAAGCTCATATAGATATAGCTGGGTAGAAATCACTCTTTGCTTACATAAAATCTAATTTTCGTTGAGACTCAAAATTTATTGAATAATACCGTTCACCATCACTTCTTTATGCGTGCTTAACTTGTCGATGCTGAAGTTTCCTCGTAACAATTGTTCACCAGTCCGAACAAATCATATACATCAAGTATTTTATTGTTAAGATTTTTAGCAGATCTAACATCTCTTCTGCAATTTAAATCATAAGAAAAAAAAACTTTCTACTAATCAACTCTTCTTATTAATGACTACAGACGGTGGTTTTCATAAAGATTTCTGTTTAACAAGAACTTTGTTTTTACAACTTAGTTATTATTTCAAGAATGTGACATATGATAATAACTGGAGAAGTTTATACATCAAATAATATCATTTTCTTTCGGTATGTATTTTAGAAACCTCTGTTATCTCCAACTAGTGTTAATTTACTGGATAATCCTTCAACATCTATTGCTAGTGTTACATTAAAACAAAAACGTATTGGGTTTTTATTTGATTCTTCATTAACAGCATTTTTAATGATGGGTAATTTATCACCAAATTTAAAAACTCATGCTGTAACAATGTTTGAAGTTGGTAAATTAGCTGATGAAATACTTGTTTCATTTTTACAAGAATTAGAAAAAATTTCTCCAACATTTCAATCATCAATCAAATTATCTGATGATGATAGTCAAAGTGAAGGTGAAGCTGATCGTTATTTTTTACATGCACGTGTACTTTATCAAACAATATCATTTTTACGTTTAAATAATGATTTATTTGATGATGATATTGGTAGTCTTGGTGTTGATTTAATTCGTTATGAAAGTTTATCAAGTCTTGATTCAAATATACGTCAACGTTTAATTGAACGTAATTATCATATATTAATATCGATGGCACCTGTTAGTGCAGAAACAGTTTATTCACCATTTAATTCAATTGATTATCTAGGACCATGTTTACAAGAAATGAATAGTGTATGGATGAAATTATTTATTTATAATTTAACTAAATCTGGTCCACCATCATTACTTTTACCAAAAGGTTACCGTTTAAATACGTTACCAGATTGTTTAAAAATTTTTGATAAATTTCTTGTTACAACATGGAATCATGAACCAACATATATATCAAATGTTAATATTCTATTAAGTATTAACGAAGCATTACTTCATTCAGCTGTACTTTTACAAGGTTTTTCATATGGTAATAATAATTTTAAAGATGATAATCAACAAATTCGACATATACCATTTCCATTTGAATCAAATGAAAATCATCCTGCATTAGAAAAATTATCATTAGCTATTGATCTACAAAGTACATGTGGTTATGTTTCAATATTAACATTATCATCAACGAATTCTCAAGAAGTTTTATTAGATATTAGGTAAACAAAAGATGAATTGAAAGGCAACTTTAACACTTTTGACTGCAGAATAAAACATTTGTAAGCCTTTAGAGAAAGACTGCTTTTATCTAATATACATTTCATTTTATCGTGATTGCAGCGAAAGTGTAACGTCACCTATTGACATGTCAGAAATAGGTAGTCAAACTTGATAGTGCATACACTATTAGATAGAGAAAATCTTTCTCTAGAAGTCTAAATCAGAAGTGTAGTAAGAGAATGCAAGAGATGTCTACGTATTTTGCTTAGCCAAAAAATGATCTAAACGTGGTAAGAATAAATAAATTTCTAGGTGAAATAGTAAATTATTTTTTTTCTAGTGTACACGCTTCTTTCGAAAAACTTCATATAGTCGCCTTTTCTTCAATAGATATTTATTTGTTTTAGATTTGGCATTCCTTTATTTGATGAAAAAATAAGTGAGATGATTCGCAATGGTATTGTTAAAAATAAATTATGTACAAAAGAGAAGTACAAAATGAAGTTTGTTTTTATTGTTTATTTATTTTTTGTTTTGTTGTGATAGAGTACAACAACGATTAAAAAGTATTCGAGCTCTTTCAATAAGTCTCATAGCATTTATTGAACTTTTTCAGGTAAATTCTTTTCTTTTTTGTTTTTGATAAATATTCTTATTGGGAAGAGTAAAATACTAATCAAAGATTACTTCGTACATTCATTAAGATCATATTTGACGATAATACAATCGTATAAATGATTCTTTTATCAATGAAGAAAAACTATTAATTCTAGAGAATTGAGATAACTTACGAAAATACAAGCTATAGTTTTGATTTTTGCTGATGAGAAGTTTACTTTCGTTCGATAGTTCTAACAGAAATATAAAAAAAAAACTTTTTTCTTATCCATCTAGCATTATAATTTATGTTTATATGGCTTTCCTTTTTATCCTAACATTTTTTACAATTGAATTTGCACAAATTTAGGCTTAAAACAACTTTGAATATTATGCTAGTTATACAGTAAAGTTTACTAAGCTTTAAGTTAGATCGATTCGCTATCAGAATAATTTCTAATCGGCATCGTTTACGATTATCTTTAAATTTCTTCTTTGATGTGTATTTTTTTTTCTAAATTCCTCACAATTGACTTTAACAGCTGATATAATAAAAGCAGAGCCCTCAAAAGATTAGCTTTTGTAAGATCAAATGTTTCTTTTTTCAAAACAATGGAAATTCACTATATTTTACTCTTTAAATTATTTTAGCAGCCTGATTCTTCACCGTGCAATATGCCAGTTCATCATTCCTCAAATGGTATTCGTTCCACTTGTTTACCAAAACGACCAGTTCTTTTCGATGGTGAAACTCTTAATATGATTGGCTTATCATCGAGTTAGCATAAAATATAAAAACAAAAATATTCGATTTTTATTTTTGATTTTTAATATATATATACATACATGTCTGTTGTGATTCATATTTATTTGTTTGAGTAACTAAAACACTTCCTTGTTTATTCGTTATATTCTATTTTTTCTTTGATAACAGTGAACTTATTATAATTGTAAAAAAAAACAACAGATCTTAAGAAAAACAAAAAATAATAAGAACTTTGAATGTATTTAAATCTCAGAGAGAACTCTAGATCTGATTCAATGGCTGAGACAAATCTACAAAAAAATGTACTGAATTCATCACAGGAGAATATTATGTATATTGATGAAGAATCTCATTCAGCCTTGAAATGTCCCATTTGTTATCAAATATTTCGAGATCCGATTATTACACAATGTGGAGTGAGTTATTTATTTATTTATTTTTATTTGAATTGTTATTTAATTAAATTTTTATAGCACACATTTTGTCAGAAATGTATTTCTACAACAAGTAGGCAATTAATATTATCTTATTCATTAAATTGAAGTTTTGTCTTAGTTTTATGCCCATATGATCAACAAATTCTTCAAACATTTGTTAATAATCATATTGTTGCTGAACAAATTGATTCATTACTTGTATGGTGTAAATATGCATTTAAAAAATCTCAAATTACTGCTAGTGATTTAAGAAATGAACGTGATGAACATGGTTGTCCTGTAAAAATTCCATTTATAAAAAAAAAGTAATTCTTCTGTCAATATATTTTATTCGTTACAATGCATATAAATATGATCTCTATTATTCTTAAATGATACAGTTATTAAAAGGAAAAAAAAACTTTAACTAAACTTCTCCTTCACTTTAGACAACATGAAGATGAATGTATATATCGATTTGTTTCTTGTCCAAATGGTTGTCATCTTAATAATATTCGTCAAAAAGTGAGTAAATATATTTATTCAATTACAAAAAAATACAAATGGGTAGTTTCATAAAAACAAAAGATTATTAGGATATTTATAATCATCTACATATATGTTCAAATCGAGAAACATCTCAATTAAATTCAACAATAAATACCAATAATGATCAATTACATATACTTCAACAAGAATTATTATTGAAAATAACACAAATTGATTTTCTTATAAATACATGTAAACAACTTACAAATACAGTTGCTGCAATGCGAAATGAAATTGGTAAATAAAACGAACAATTCATTTAAATTTTAATGAATTTCAATTGTTATCATAATTTTTAGATACATTAAAAATTAACCAAGAAGCTTTATGTTCACGAAATGATTTATTATTAGTAAATATTTTTTTTTTATTTTATATTTTTTCAAAATAAATTATTTTTTAGAGTGAATTAATGAAAACTAAGCAAACATCACCTATACCAACAACTATAGATGAACAAGAATCCTTAAGAAATCATGGTATAAAGGAGAGCGATTGGTAACTGTTAAAATTGGCTTTGTCGACAAATTCGATTTCTATCATGTCAAACTATCACACAAAACATCCAAAAGTTAATCCTAGTGAAATCAGTCAAATAGCACTTATTTGTACTTTGCGTAGGTCAATTCGAAATAGTCAATGCACGTTATATATAAGTTTAATCCAACTGTTGATAATAGTCAACTTCTTTTATCCATACATCTCATGAACGATCCGGCTTTTTTTATATCCTAATCGTCAGGCATTTCAACATGGTATGAAGATATCAAGGAAAAAATATTGATGTCTTCATGTAATCCTAAGGGCACTGTTCTTGAGACAAGGTTTCGATAAGAATATGCTGACAAACGTTTTTTTCGTCGAAAAATTCGCCCCTGATTCCTCTCAGGATCGGGACAAAAAGAACTTGATTGCCACCGTTAAAATAGCTTTTTCAAGCAATTCGTTTTTCGACCAAACTTTGAGAAAACCAGGGATAAAATTGTCAAAGAAAAAAGTTTGTCAAAATACTTGAGATACACGTAAGTCCATTTGGTTTAGGATGCTGATTCGGTATATCATTTTAGTTTTCACCTAAACTGGAATGTTCTTAGGGAAATCTACTGGATACCAGTGCAAAAAAGCTGAAAATCGTGTCTCGAGAACAGTGTTCTTAATATTTGCTTGAATCGCCAATATTTTTGATACCATTTTGAAGCGCTTAAAAATTACTATATGAAAATAGCCTGGTCGTTCTTGCGATGAGTAGATAAAAAGTGCTGATTAACGTCAACAGTCAGATTCAATGTACATGTAATAGGCATTGATAATTTTAACTGACCTGTGTACAGCGCAAGTAAGTGCTATATGATTAATTTGATCGGGAATGACTTTTGAACATCTTTTTTAGTAGTGTGACATAGAAGAAATCATACTTGTCGAGGAGGCCTATTCTAACGTTTACCGATCCTTTCTTTTAATAGAGCTTTTATTTTACATTACATATTAGATAGTGCAGATGAAAATGAATTATCAACTGTTGTTTTACGTTGCAATGGAACTTTTACAGGACATAGTGATACTGTTTGGTGTTTATATGCATTAGATGACCTCCTTCTGAGTGGATCCAGTGATAAAACAGTTAAAGTAGGAAAGGACAAGAATCATAAAGTTTCATACGTATTGAAATTTTTCTTAATAAGGTTTGGAATTTACGTGAAACTCCATATACAAATCTAGCAACATTACATGGTCATGAAGAAGGTGTTTTATCATTAACTATTAAAGAACAAACAGTATTTAGTGGTAGTGTTGATAAATCAATATTCGTAATGAAAAAATATATTTCGAATATGTTATGCCATCTATTGGAGTATTTTATTTTCTAGGTTTGGAATTTGAATGACTATAAACGAACTAAATCATTTGTTGCTCATACAGGTAAGAAGACTTCTATTTTTCTAATAAAATATTCTATCCTTAGCATATCAAATAAAAAGATCCCGTGTGTTCATTAACACAATATGATAATTATCTATACAGTTCTTCGAATAAATGTTTGAAAGTATGGGATATAGAAACATTAGAATTAATAAATGAAATTCAAACTGATAGTCGAAATGGTTGGTTAAGAATTTTGATGCCAAAAGATAAATGTATTTATGCTGGATGTCGACGTGTAATTAAAGTAAATTATTTTTGCGCATAAAATAGTTGGTTAGAAAAATTCATGAAATGATCAGTACATAAAATTTACTAACAAGCGATTAGATCGTTGGCTCAATATAGAAATTGAAATATCTTATAGTGTGATTCATTTCTTTTTTTTTCTTTCTTTCTTTCTTTCGTTGTACCAATATAGTACCGATGGTATACAGGACATAGATGTAGGTATTCTTTGCTTCTATTCTCTCTACCGACTATAGTTTGAAAAAATTTGTTTTAGTTTAGTTCTTTGGTCTTCACGTGTTGAGTTATGAGCATTTTACTCGTGTTTTTCCCTATGGCCATTGAATCACGAAGAATATGAATGATTGAATGCCGTGCTGAAGTTTTGTCCACAATTATACCTAATAGTCATTAGAAACACTTCATAGCTTATGCAAAAATGAACATGTCCTTGCTAAGACATTTATAATATTTTAAAAAACAACTGTTGCTTTGAATTATTTTTAGTGAGGATAAAGTCTATCTATGAACGAAATACGAAGTCTGAATTCGATCATTGAGGTTCTCAGCGATTCTATACTCATAGGGCAAAAATCGAGTAAGATGCCCAATAATTTAACAAGTGACGATTGGAAAACAGACTTTTCACTAGTCATCATGACTAATCGAACAGCAATAGTCTCAAGCAATAAGCAATAGGACAGTTTACAATGTTTTCCTATTAGAATCAATATGAAACTGATATACCAGATGACGAGGTTGTAGGAAAAATTTATGAAACAAAATGGAAGTGAAAGGTCTTGGCAAAAAAAAGAAAATTAAAATATTTGGTTAACGAGGTTACATTTTGATAATGTTAATGGAATGGAAACATCAATTGGAGAACAGTTTATTACAGATCCAACAAAGTCAAATGTTCTGGATAGAGATGTACATGATTACGACCATAAGAAAGAGAACTTGCTGAGATCTGCTATACCATACAGCTGGTAAAAACAGACTGAATGCTTATAAAACTGAGGCTAAGCACGATGATCATAGGGGTGTGAATGAAATGAAAATCGATTCGAATCCATATTCTATTTTATAAAAATAAAAATCTTTGCTGACAAAATCTAAATTTCTATTGATTGAATTCGTTTGTTATATTAACTATTCAACTACTGATCATTTGTATGTTTTTTTTTTCTGCTGACTATTTCATCTATTTAACTGACCACTTACAAGTTACAAACTTCGATTTTTTTTTTCTATATTAAATTTCGGTTTTTAGGTTTTTGATGCAAGAACACATCAAATATCATTTGAATTTGAATTACCAACAAATGATTCAATTTATAGTTTAGCGCATTCAGATACATTACTTTTTGCTGGTGCATTATCTGGTACTATTTATGTAAGTTTTGAAAGTAAATAAAATTTTATAAGATTTACTTATTTTCTCTTGTAATAGATTTGGGATATTCGAGCTAATCGTTGTTTAGAAACTACTTGTCAACATGATGCAACTGTGCATGGCCTTTGCATGCTTAGTGCTGATAATTTTAATAAATCAAATTTAATAAGTGCATCGAGTGATCAAACGATTCGTGTATGGTCTATGGATACATTCGATCAAGTACAATATGATGATCGACATGAAGCGGAAGTAACAGCATTACATGCTAATGCTCGACATATTATGTCAGGTGCTGCTGATGCTAAAATAAAAGTAAATTAACATAAAACAACATATTTTAGTTATTGAGATATTTTCTTGTTTTTTTAGGTTTGGGATTGTATTTCATCTCATGATCATTTTGAATAAGGCAAAGTGTAGTTTTACTAGATGTTTTTTTTTATTTACTTTATTCATAAATACTGAGCAATTGGAGATATTATGAAAGGCGAAAGATATTAGTGAAATGTACAAAAGATCGAATAGTTTTTTGTATGATTTTTTTAATAATAATCTTTTGTTTTTCCAATATATTGGGAGCATCTTTTTTTAATTTTTTCTAAATAAATGACACATTATTTATTTAAATTATAGATGCAACATTTATATTTATCACCAATTAAATCTAATATATCAAAGCGTTTTATTAATTTTGTATTCTTTCGTTTGAAAAACACATCATCCGTTGTACCAAAAGTAACACAAGAAATAAAAGAAGCCGCTAAAGAACATGTACGAGAATTACGTCGAGAATTCGATAAACCAATTAAATTTTCAACTAGTCGTGCTAAACATTGGGATACAGCTGATTCAATAGTTTTTAATCGTCATATTGGAAAATTTACACGACCAGTATTAATTGTTACTGTTTTAATTAATATGGTTTGTGTACAGTTGAAAAGAAAAATATGAGTGAATATTTTTTATGTTTAGTTCTATTGGGGTTATTATCGAGAAGAAAATGATATTGATGACATGCTTAGTATGGAACCATGGCAAGTATTTCCTCGATTAAACTTAGAATATCTTAAAACAGCTGAAAGACAATATCGTGAGGCTGGCCTTGATACAAGTCAAATAGAAGTCAAGAAGAAAATGATTCAAGACATGTTTCAACCACAAGTAAACGAAGAAGTTCGTGTTAAATATAAATAAATCAAATTATATTATTTGTCTGTTTTTTTTTGTAACTGGATTTATCAAAATAAATCTTTAAAAGAAACCGAATCCTTTTTTGTTTTAAATTGTTTATAATATTTGAATAATATGCAAAGAATTATTAATCATCACCGAAAAGAGATCTTTGTAATTAATAGGTGACTTATAATGAACAGGATAAAATTTTTTCTTGTTTTTCGTGTGCTTCCCAACCTAAAAAGAAGCAAAGCGATTAAAATATCGCTTATATAATCATGTTCGTCCGTTAAACTTGAAACACGGTGGTAAATTGCAAAAAAAAGTGATCAACACTTTTGGTATTTCAAAGCGTGATTGGTATTTGTAAAGGCGTTCATAATCATGCTAATGAGTTATTTCAAAGAGGAATAATTCAGTGTATTTTTATTTATCTAAGATACTTTGCTCCTTTCATATAAGCAAGAATGCACGTATTGCTTATATGAAATCCATCGATCATGATCAAGTGTTTATATAAAAAATAAGAAAACCGAAAAAACTACATATAATGAGTTTATTGACTTCAATTGCGCATGATCACATTAAAACCCTGAAATCTGTGCTTAATTCATACTAGAAAGTATAGAATCAGTAATGATTCCTAACATAGTGCTGCTGCATGAAAGTTTTCTCTCACCAATAACCGATTGATTAGAGAAGAAAAGAACGAGTAAATTCAAGTCACACATTCATTTATTTATTTGATAAAAATTGCTCAGTGACTTCCCATGTTTAAGCAATCGACAAGTTTTCAACTATATACGACGAGTATGAAGAAAGTAAACCAAAAACTATGTATCAGACGAGAACTCGAAATAAAATTTTTGGCGATCTTTAATCTAACCAACGAGCGGTTTTCATTCTGTTTTCGAAATACTCAAAATCAAAAAGATCGTTATGCTTATCTACATAAATGAATATTCGTCCATTTGTAAAACATAACATATGTCGGGAAGTATTTTGTATAAACTTTCGAACTTCTAGAAAAATAAAAATTTGAACATGATACAAAATATTCCAACTAATCTATTGTATTTTAAATGGACGAATTGTCATTTACTTAGATAAATATTTCGCAATAAAAAATGGAAAATAATCGTTGATCGCATATTAGATAATGAAAAATCATGGGTTTAATCATAAACGAATCACTATTTATAACTTTCATAATATAACGTTCAAACGATGAGAACAGGATTCTTATTTTCTACTGAGAAAGTCGTTTATTATGATAAACGAGTATTTTGGATAACACGTCACTGTTTAAACGCTGTAAAGTAACGTATAGCTTAAACGCCACAGGAGCGTCCCTGCAACTCATTAGAAAAATATTAGAGACTTTACTTTAGGCTTATTCAATAGAGAATTTCCTGCTCTACAAAACTATTGTCTTTGTTTTTCAGATAACTTTTTTCTCGTCAGTACAAAATTAAAAAGATGAACACCTACTCAATGATCTAACTGCGATTTCTGATTTTTTGCAGGCATCCATGGATCAGTGTCAAAATCGATATGAAAAGTAAAGTATTTTGACAGTACTGGACAGAAAATTTCGTTCTATTTGCTTCTACAACTTTCTCAAGATGCTTGCTACTGTTCTACAAAAGAAAAAGACTTTGAACTAGATATTTGTAGTCTATTTAAAATTTAACTGAAATCTTTATGAAAATTGTTTCGTTTTTAGATCGTCACAGGTGGACGATTGAGTAGCTTTTCATCTTATTAAATATTGCGTCATGAAAAGCTGAATGACAAGATTCCACTAGAAATATTGCTCATAGACAGTTTTCACAGTTATTAGAATATTCTAAGAATTTCAGCTCAAATGATCGCATTCTTCTTGAAGTATACAGTATTCAACGAATGTTTATAAATCATGATAGAATTTTTCATGAATAACTAATCCAAACACCGAAAATATACTAAAATGGTCAGAACTCTAGTTCAATAAACACTTGTGTCCAAAAACGTTTTTGATTTTCTTCGTTTTACTGACGAAGGAAGCTTACCAACTGTTCAGCCGGTTTTACATTGAGACTATGTGCATTATGTACACACAAATGAACTAAGAATACCCTGAAAAGAGCTTGTGTTCTTAGCTTTTTGCTGTCGAAATATTACACTTTTACAATAGTTTTTACATGAATACTATGGTAATAGGAAAATTGATTTTCGAATTTTGATTTCATGCTTTTCAAAAAGATAGACCTTAATACAAATAATTTTTTATGAATTTTTCAGACTTTGTAGCTGTTCTTGTCCTACAATACAACTATGATGTTAGCGTATCTTTTACATCGCTCATATAAAGTGGTAGATTTGATATCAATATGAAGCTACTATTCTCGTTAAGGTTGTTTTTTATGGGAAGGTTCAAGTCGAAACTTGACAGTTAATTTTTCTGATGTTCCTGAGGGAAAGCATAGCATTTATTAAAAAAAAAATACCGTAAAAATGCAATATCTCAACAGCAATAAATTAAGGGCACGAACTCTTTTCAAGGTTTTCATAGATAATATGGGTTTGCATAATACGCATAGCATTGACTTAAGACAATTGTGATACTAATTTTTATTGTATCATCTTTTATACAGTAATATATATCTTTTATATTTTTATTTATTTTAAACTTAATTCAAGTATATGTTGAAATGAACATCGAATATTTTCAACTAGTTATTTGTGAGATAAATAGACTGATCGATAGTGATACGCAGAAATACTGAGGATTTTTTATTCTATATATTCGATAATACAAACATATCTCTCATAACTTGAGTCAGTATTTATTTAGGTTAGCTTTATTATATCACATAATTCCATCGTGTCTATACATAATCGAAATAAAAATAAATTGAATTCAAATGACACAAATAGAAGAAAAAAAAGATTTATATTTACTTATTTTATATTAAATATATATTACACATTTGAGAATTTTCGATCAATGAATGTGATGATATATCTAAACATGGAGGAAGAGGAGTACAAATACATTGATATGGTTCACAATGAGTATGTTTAAATTTTGTATCTAATTCTAAAACTTCGCAAGGATTTTTTAGAGGTTTAAGTGAAATTGAAGTTCGTTTGATAGATTTATTAAAAAGATAATTATATATTGATGGGTTTTCATTAGTAGAAATCCATGATGATTGTATACGAATTTGTTTTCTACGAATACGTTTCTTTCGACGAACACCTTTCGTTGAAGCCATGGCTCGTTTATTCTTTTGTTTATCATTTTTAATATTTGTTAGTATTGAAGATGATAAATTGATCATAAGTTTACGAACATGCACATTGTGTATATTTGATTGAAAATTTGATATTGGATTCAAGATCTTATATCTTTTCTGTCTTTTTAGGTAACTTAAATCTTTGTCTTCATTTATATTGTCGATTAATGTTCCAGATATTTTCATGACAGGTAATGCGTTAATTTTATCACTTGATTGTTTTTGTTGATCGAATCGTTGAATAGTATTATTCATTTGAATAAATTTCAGTTCAGATGAATGATGTGATAGATGTAAATCCTCATTATCTATAATATATTATCGAATGTTTTTTATTTGAAAGAAATATTTCTGATTCAAGCGATATAATACGTTTCAAAAAGATTGTTTTATTATGATCAATTCCTTGACAAGAAAATCAGAAATAATAAATCAAGCATAGTTAATTCGGAATTGATCTAGGAATGAATAAATCGACAAATCAGAAAAGATTTAATCCTTTGGTTACCAATACATATTTATATTTACGCACTGAGTTTCTATATAGATTATAGCTTTGATAATTTCCTTTATCTCCCTTAAGCGTTTAGTATCACAGCATCATAATATGATGTCACTGTTAAATATAGGAAGAATAGTTCTTGTCCTTGGAATAGAAACCATACATTTTCATTGCGAATGACATCTTTTATGGTCGTGTAAGATTTGCATTAAATGTCACAGTCTTACGCTTCATATGTTTTAAAATTTTATGCGCAAACTATTGAGTGACAATCATTTCAACATTTACTGTGATCATTTTTCTGGCAAAACTAATCCTTGTTTTCGTCAATAGTAGAGTTGGCGAACACGGAAACAGGCAGAATAGACGAGATATTAGAGATCATGCAAGATGTTTCGAGCGCATTGGAATTTCTAGAGAATGATATTTCCATTTGTCACTAGTACATGTATTAATAAACATGAAGCTAGAACTCAAATTTTTTTCAGACCGGAACCAAGAACGATTGATTCAGCTCATCACTAATCACTGTACATGTATATTAAGTGAGGAACTGTGGATTTAGAAGGCTCGACAAGTATTAAACTTTATAGTTTTGGTTCAAGGCAAACAGAATTCATTGTTTTCCTTTGACGTATATATACATTTAATTGCAGGCTTCTATGATGAAACTTACATTTTGTCATTAAGTAAGAAAAAACTTGTAACGAAAGAATGACAGAATATCAAACGGTTGCAATAAACACCTTGTTTAAATCATCAAAAATTGCTTTACCTTGATCCGTTACTGCTTCGTATTCTTTTTCATGTAGTAGAGGAGTAGTCTTTGTCTGAAGAGACATGAACGAATATTTTGGAATTCGAGCAGTTGAGAATAATGGATCGGAACTTTGATTAATGGTTTGTTCAAGCGTATCAGACAGGTGAATACTTGTTGAAATTGCATGGAATCGTTCATCGAGAGTTTGTGGTTTCTCTTTTAAGTAACAACAAAATAGGATATATTGTTAAGTTCTTCATATTATATTTTATGATGAATATTCTCTTGAATTCTATTAAAAAAAACATAATCATAATTACCTTTAGCAAATGTTTCTCTTGCTTTGTCTATTGGTGAAAATGGATTAGCTGTAGATATTGATTGAGTTTCATCAATATATTCAATTGAAATAGGTGAATCTATATTAAAATGATATAATCAAGTTTTATTGCTTCTATCAGCTTACGAATGACATCCGTAGTTATCGTAGACTGAAGACTATTGACGAAATGATCAAAAATAGTTTCGAAATTTTCGTTAGATTCTATGAAGAAAAAAGAAAAGTATTCTACGTTTTGTAGATTTCTTTATACTCAATGAATGAGGTTGTTCCATCGATAGTGATGAGAACGTGCCATTGTCAGATTGGACTAGAGTTTTATCAGAAAAATGATTAGTTTTAATAGAATTATTTTAGAAATTCTCTAATCATTAGTCTTCTTTCATTAAAGACAATATGTTTTTTGGACAAGTTTGTCTCTGTGTATGAAATTTCAGGTCTACAATATTTGGTCGCAGTTCTTAAAATTATGATAGAGAAAAAAATTCTTATAATAATGAAGAAAAAATTCCGAGAGGTCCAGAAAATAACTAACAATCTATTCAAAGTTTAGAAACGTTAGAAATGAGTATTTCGATAAATTTACAATGTGAATGTCAACATTCAATTATTGTTTATCAACGAGACCCTCTATGATATATTCCATTAGATTAACCTTCACTGCTCATATGCTAACCGATTCTCTCGGATATGCTATATGTGATTGTGCTTCGTGAAAAATGAAATAGGAACCACATTTCTACCAAACATGCAACCAATTGTTACTATGTTGATGAAATTATTAGAACAATAATTTAAGTCAATTCCACTGAAATCTCTGATTAGCAAGCTAGTTCATTGTAGAAGATGAGAGTATACTAATTATACCATCAGAAAATTCTTTTATTGGTCTATATTGATCTTCACAAAAATAGACGTAAATAAAAGAAAAGACTTAAAGTTTGCTAAATACCTTTGCTTTTGGATATAGATCGATAATAGATATGATCTGATAATAGAATTGTCTTGCTAGATTTCGAGTTAGGAATAGTTTCTTGTTTGTCTATTCCATCAATAGTGGATGCAATTTGAAAAGATTGATCCATTGGTGGATTGAATAGGAGTATACTTCCTGAATTCAAATCATAACTGTTCTCTTCTTGAACTATTAGATTCTCATTGTTGATTTTCTGATCATCATTAACAATAAACTTCCCGTTTTGTTCCTCTTGGTGAATTGTGACTTTTGTTTGTGAAAGAATATTTTCATCCCAATTTAATAATAATTTGCTATCGTTCCATGCATCATTCAAGAGTATACTTTCGTCCTCTATTGAAGTAAAGAAATTATTTACGAATTATTTTATTAATGCAACTAATTACCATAAATATTTGATACGAACGTTATCTCTAGAGAAAAGATTTTTGTTTCAAAGTGATGACACATTTTAGACTTTCAAACCTTCAAGTATTGGTTGAGTTGTTGAGGATAATGTCTCAAATGCTTGGTTACTCAATGAAACAGCATTTTCATATTCATGTATATTGTCAGAATATTCATTTGATTCTTTCATATTATCACTTTCTTGTCTCGTGACAATGTGATGTCTATGATTTTTATTTGGATATTTTTTATTAAAAAAATTATTAAAATCATCTAAAATCCTTGATTGATCACGATCAAGAAGAGCTTCTAAATGGTATTCAAAATAGTGGATAAAATCAATGGATATAAATTTCAAACTTTGTTGATCTTTGACATTATCAAAAAGTATTATATTCAATGATGATTTATATCTCTTGAGATTTCCACTATCTGATTCTAGAATTATTAATGGTAGACTTGGTATTTGTATTAACGACATTCTTGTCATATGGTTAATTAATAGTAAAATGCACACTGGTATTATATCGAATATTATGGTGGCTTCTAATGGACTTTGATATATTATACAAGTTGTGAGTTCGTTTAAAGACGAAATAATCAGCTTAATGTTAGTACTAAAGTCATTGTCTTGTTTTAATATATGTTTAGGTGTTAAAATTGTATCTGAAGATTGTTTAATATGACTATAAAGACTTGATTTATTATCATTTTCAATTAATATAAATGAATTTCTAACTCGTTTCTGTTCATTTCGAAAATCTAATTTATCGTTTGAGATACGTCGATAGAAACAAGTTTGCGAATCTTCTTCTTTCAAATTTAGTATAGATTTATTTGATTTATTATTTTCATGAACTTTTTCATGTGAATGAATATTTTTGTTAGATAGTTTTTGAATAGTGATAGAAATATTTGTTTTATTATCTTTTCGAGATTTTAATTGAGTAGTAGATTTTTGATTGATTGATCCTATTTGATTTGGTTTTTGAATATTGTTATAGTTCTGTAGAGAATTGAATGAAAAAGGAAAATGACGATAACAAATAGGTTGTTTTTTTTTTCGATATCGATATGTTTTTGTTTGAGAATGAGAATGAATTTGATCATGTCTATTGAACAGTTTGTTGAACATCTGTGATAGAATAGAATTTTAACTAACCGGCGTGTAGTCTGACAATCTGTTAATTTAATATAAATATTCGATGAATGTGAAGAATTTTTATTTGTTAAATTATATTTATATACTGATGGTTTATTAATATAATCATTTTGATATTTGAACATATGTGATGTTGATAAATAGTCTTGATTGTTTATCGACTTGGTTTCATTTTGATAGAATTTTTCTATTACATGAGATATAATACTCGTTGGTGTGGGTTGATCTGTCATCTCTCATTCTAATATATGATTGATAGTGTCGATGAAATCTCTTGTTAGAAGAATATGCTGATGTTGATCGATCATAAGTTTGCCTAGATTGTATGAATATGATTCGTAGATGAATTAAATCCGATGAAAGATAAATTTTAATTTAAGATACCAGAAATTCGAAATTTTGGAAATTTTTTTATCAATTGATTTAGTGTTGTTAGATACAGTACATTGAGTTATCTATGGAAAACTACGTTTTCAAGTTTTAAAAACAAGGTTTTTCTGGAAACATTGAAAAAAGACTTAATTTCAAATATCATGATCATAATCGTTCATTATCATAAATATGTTACTTTCACTTTGTAGAATATGATAAAGGTTATTTCATCATTATGCAGCGAAATTTGATTAAAAAACGTCTTATTTATATTTTTATTAATATAATATTATGAGCGTTGAGTAATATTTATTGCTGAGTTTTATAAACTATTTTGTTTATTACAAAAAAATAAAATATTGTTCGAATAATTCTTTTTTTCTATTTAAAATTAATATAAATAAAAAAATTTATGACATCTTTTAATTTTAATTTACCACAAATATAACTGAATATTGTTATGAATTTATTTAATGTAAAGTCATAGTTTTTGGAGCGAAATCTAAATATTATCTTCGAATTTTCTATTATTAATAATTTGTGAAAATGTGTGTAAACACCATCATCATGGTTCTTGTTCAAGCATTCTCATCTCTATATAGAAAACGCTACTTTTCATTATAAAAACTGCATGAAAACGTTTTAAAAAGTAACTTTTATATCTGGCCAATGTGCAAAAATTATGAGAATAGTTTTCGGACGTTTTCCAGATGGAAAATTTGCCTTTTTAAACGACTTCATGCACTTTTTATGATGAAAAATAGCTAATTTTTGTGTTATAGAAATGCACGTGGAAATCATCACACAGGAACTATGATTAGAACGTTTACAATAATTCTTGTCTGTTTAAGTAGACACTAATAAAATTGCAATATTATTTGTATTGAAATTACAAATGTATGAAATTTAGTAAAATTTGAATATTTTGAAAATAGTAATCTATCTAGTTCAGCTATTTAACAGATAGATTTATTAAGAAAAATATCTTTGTCGACATATCAAAAATAATTTGTGCGATTGACAAATGATGAATTTCATGTTATTTATCTTTTATTTGGCTCAGTTCGTCATTTATCTCCTGTAGTCAACTAATAACAATATTAACTGAATTTGATTTTCGCCTGCGCAGTTGTGGGTAGTCATCCTTAACGAATAGTATACTTTTGATATTATATGCATCATTGGACGATGAATAATCATTATAACAAAGAAAAAGATTCGTTAAGGTAAATAGCCTTTAATAAACATCAATAATATCATAATTATTGGGTTTGTGATCACCAATATTTTATGAAATAGCTTTTATTATTATTATTAATAGTCGTTTTGGACTGACTTATTGTATTATGAATAACGAAGATAAGTTGCATTTGTTGATTGTTTATTTATTTATTTGAGTCATTCTAATAAATCATTACTTTTTCTAGTTAATGTATACCATAATTCTGTAAGAGTCATTTTTTTAAGAACGTTTTTTATTAGTTTTGTTTTTAATTGATAAGACATTTAATTTTCTATACGTTCGAAAATTGATGTTATATTTTGTATATGAAGACTTTTATAATAACTATTCGATATATTAGAGTCATTAGCATAAATTATTGTTTTTCTAATCAAATATTAAATAGAATATTATGATCAACTTAACCCTTTACCCTTCCTCCTTCTCTCCAGAACTGTTCCAGAAGAGCCACTAACAAAATAAATGTATAAATAGATAATTAAGATGTTCAATATGATAATGATATGGTTGGATCCACCTAGTGTCCATATCTTTATGAGGAGTCGTTTGGTTCGTCCAATGACCGCGTGGTAAAAGAGAAAGGAAATTTAATAGTACATTAAACCTTGATTACTTTTTCATTCGCCTACATTATTGAGTAGGCAAAAGCACTATCAATCTCACGTCGTTATCGTGATAGAAAAAAGGCAAGAGTGAATCGATAAACATTAATGTCAAAAGAATACATGTTTTTTTTGACATATTTTATTGAATGAACACCTTTTTTTTGCATTGAATTATTTTATAACTTCTGAAGATATTTAATTGATAATAAATGCTATTTCAACTTCTCATTAATTGAGATTTTATAATACATATATGAAATTTGCTCTTGATTGCGAAATAATGATTCCATGGTTTATTCGTCGAATTATCGTAAAGCTTTCTAAACCTGTCTAGCTTACTAGTTTGTTTCTTCCTTGATTTATATTATAGAAAATTTTTGAAAGATTTCTATTGAATATAGATAGAGAACATTTTGTTTCGAAAAGTTCGATTGAAGATGTACTTCTATATTATGAAATATATCCCAAAAGAAGTTTCGATGACCGTTCTACTTAGAGATCGTGACCAACATGTCACCATAGGCATTTTACAACAACACCTTTCTTCCATCAAAGACAATGACGTGCACGTTAATATTTCTGTTTCTTTCTTATGGATTGTGACACACTAACTTATGATATTGATCTCTACGAGAGTATTAGTGTGAAATAAGATTAAATGAAAGATTACTGTCTTTTGATTTTTTTATAAATTTTACTGTGACATTTTATATTATAACTAACATTTGTAATAATTGTTGAGTTTCAGCAGTAGACGACAATTTATAAATCAAAACTTTTCTCAGCAAATTTACTAATAAATGACATAAGCGGCTTTATAGTGTTGCACAATGTTACATCATAGGAATTATGTTAAGAAAATTTTGTGTAAACAGTAAACTTTTACATAGGGAATAATAATAATAAGTAAACTTTAGTTAAATATTTTCAGACAGAAATCAAACAACAGATTTCGAGAAAGTTCTGTGAAATAAATAGGGTGAATTGTCCTTCAAGAGCAAACTATGATTTAAAAGAAAAAGTGCTCCTAACGACCTTTTTTTCAGAATTTAACATGCATACAACATTGAATTGGGTCATAAGCACATATATTTCTATCCAACTGTAAAATATAAATACGACAAAAATGAAAAAAAAACAATGAAGTACGTATTGATCGACTGGAAGAGAAAAGAACAAAAAAAACCATGAATATTATTTGAATGTCATTTCATATTGATTGAAAATAAAATAAAGTACAGTTGAAATGACAAAAAATCAATTTAATATTAATATGAATCACACTTACAAATTCAATGCTTTCCCTTTCGTGGTTTGTGTTTGGTTAAATAAAATTCAAATGTACATCAGGAAATAGAGCATTGATTAATATAGCTTAAAAATCTTTCAAAATTTAATTTTTTGATTTATTTTTGAAGTTTTAATGGAAAAGTAATTTTATTTTCTAAAAGAATTTTAATAATTTGTTTAAGATTATTGATTAGTTGGCATATGAAATTTTTTTTTTCAATTTTTAGTCTTTATTCTGTTAAGACATTTTCTTGTCAACTTTTACGAGTAACTCTTGTGTTTTTATTGTTAGTTTTTAACGTTGTAAAGAATATGAGTTTTTAAACATGAGATTACGAACTGAGAAAAAAAGAACAAATTCGTAATGAAGCACGCAATTATTCGTACTGGCTGTCCTTGAAAAAAAAAACATATCCGAACATCGCAATAATATATATAATGAGCTTTAATGTATACATACAATAAAAAGCATATGGTGTATAACTGTTATGCTGCTGAAAATAAAACTGAATGATCATCATATTGATGAGAAATTAATCGATTTAATTACAGTAACAAGTAAAGAATGTCAGATGTTCTATTATGATTGATGTGTTATTTTCTTTCTTGTTTTTTTTTTGTGAGATGGTATCAGCATGCTTTTGTTTAGAGTTTACTAAGAAAACATGCAAACATTTTTATGTTTCTCAACCTAATTTATGTTATCAGGTTCTCACTATCATCTAACTAACGTATGCTTTTCTTTTTGCCCTTTGAAATTGTTATTTTATCGATTTGACTATGAAATAGAAGACAAAGAAGGATGAGAACATATGAAT